AAACCTCACCTCAAAGAATAAGTGTAAGTTATCTAAAAATGAGATTTGTTCATGCCCTTTGATGTACCATATTACTTACGAGAGTGTACAAAGAATAAACAAATAAAGATATTATTGGCATGATGTAATACCTTATAGGATGATTATTTGAATACATTTACTTGATTAACGACTTCATATAGTCCGTCATGCAATCAAGCAAATTGTAATGCTCATGTCGTGCTGAGAAACTGTAGATATAACTTGCTTTATATGTCTCTTATACACCTTGGTTGGGAATCTAGTAGATTAATGGGCAAGAATGAAATAAGTCTTCCAGAATAACTGAAGTTATTCCTTGGGGTGAAGTTTCCTTTAAGGTAAGTTACAATATATTCCCATACCTGTACTACACAAAGCTCCATTAAATCGCACAGCACATGTACATGCATTGTTCACACAGGTACCTTCGTTCTGACATGGGTTGCTAACAGAACAGTCAACTACAGAGAGAAAAGAAAATATCCTAAAATGAATGACCAATATTAACGTTTACCGTCACTAGGATATTCTTGAAGGACGACAATATTATATTGAATTAATATCAGGCGTTGAAGAAGCAAATTAATAATGATGAATTGAAAAATGTCAATTTCCTTGTGGGTAGGCCCCCCCCCCCCCCCTCCTACGCCTCCCCATTTTTCGGGCGGGGTTGCAGCGGTTGTGAGTCAAAATGATGATGCCGAAATATATAAATTTGAATAAAAAGCTAAACATGACAGGCCTTAAAGATACTATGTCCCTTTTGCAGCCAGCATCAAATTCTGTAGAACTTTGCAGGAATTATGACTATGTCATGTTTGTCCTATCTGTAAAATTTAAACGTTAGCAGTGTACTAATATTTATATTATGCAATGAAACCTGTTTACTGGCTAGACTTCACTCTTAGACACTATTGAGTGACTGACTGGCTTTATTTTCTTCTTTTGTAATAACATACATAAAATGAGCTGTAAAAGGTACATGAGCATTTGTTTACATCAACAACCCACTTTTTGTATCGGCCATAATTAAACTGATTTAATCTTTGCGCAGCATAAAAATTAAGAACACTCGGTACAATGGTCTGAAAATCAGACTATTACTTACTAGCTCTATAGCTCTTAAGTCGATTCAACAACTAATAGTCATTATTTTCCCACTTAAAGACATTTTCGAGCCCCCTTTTTTTTAGGGAAGTTTTTAATGGGTATTATCTTTCAAATGCCGTTCGAATTTAACCTTTTCATTTTTTGGCCTGCAAATGGGACATAGTACATTAAAGTCATGTAACATCAAAATCATTGTGTAGCCATTATTTTCGTTCAAACCAAAATATTGCTTTATAAATAGGATGAATACTGACAGTACTTTAAGAAAACCTAACCCCAAAGAATAAGTGTAGGTAATCTGTAATATGATAGAGATTTATTCCTGCCCTTTGATGCACAATATTACTTACGAGAGTGTACAAAGAATAAACAAATAAAGATATTCTTGGGCTGTTGTAATGCCTTTTAGGATGTCAATGGGGCAGTCATTTTCTTGATAATATGACGTACCAGGCGAACTTGTACTTATATCATGCACAAAGCTTCAGTCGTAAAGCAATTTCAACTTAATTCCGAAAACCTTCACTTTTCAATAAGGGACGGTCATGGCTGAGAAGTTCAAATGTATATTGAGTCAAAAGTATATAACAGGGGGGAAATAGTAACTGATTAAATCTTTAAAAATAAAAAAGTGCAGTGGACTAATTTATTTCATTCATGAGAAACCTTCTCCCAAGAAAGACACTAACAAATCATATGCGATGTGCATTCTGGTACGAAGGATAATACCCGTTGAATACCATTCATCACCACACACAGCTGTAAAGGAAACATTCGTACATTTGAATTCAATTACTTGATAAACGTCTTCATATAGTACGTCATGTATTATCAAGAAACTGACGATGTCCATGACGTGCTGGGAAGCTGTTGATTATTCGTGCTTTATACGTCTATAATACACTTAGGTAGGGTATCAAGTAGATTAATTGGCAAGAATAAAATAAGTCTCCCGGAATAACTGAAATTATTCCTTGTATGAGGTTTCCTTTTAAACTTATGTTAAAATATATGTCCATACCTGTACTACACAAAGCTCCGGTAAATCCCGCAGCACATGTACATGCATTGTTCTCACAGGTACCTCCGTTCCGACATGGGTTGCTACCAGAACAGTCAACTACATAGAGTAAACAAATATCCAAAAATAATTGACCAATCTTTACTTTCACCGTTCACGATGAAATACATGAATGACGGGGAAAAAATATTGAATCAAGGCAAATTAATAATGATGCATTAAATATTTCTAAAAGGACAAAGAGGGTGCCCCCCCCCCCGGTCCTCGAAATGTTTAAACCTGTTTTGAGGGCGGGGGCAGCGGTTGTTAGTTAAAATCATGATACAATGATTACACTATATTTCCATACCTGTAATACACAAAGCTCCATTAAATCCCACGGCACATGTACATGCATTGTTCACACAGGTACCTTCGTTCTGACATGGGTTGCTAACAGAACAGTCAACTACAGAGAGAAAAGAAAATATCCTATAATGAATGACCAATATTAACGTTTACCGTCACTAGGAAATTATTGAAGGACGACAATATTATATTGAATTAATATCAGGCGTTGTAGAAGCAAATTAATAATGATCAATTTAAAAATGTCAATTTCCTTGTGGGTAGGCCCAATATATGTTTTATGGGAACTCAGTGTTATATGCTCTGGCTCCTAATGGCCAGAGCATATAACACTGAGTTCCTATAGGCAATCTTTTTATTCAGATGGTCATATCTCGGTCAATACTTAACATATTAAATTGGTTTTCATCATTTGGACATTATATTTGATGCTCTTTCAGAAAATGAAGAAAAAATGAGGAAACTCTAAAAATAGATTTTTATGACGTCACAGCTTCGGTACTCTATAGCCCTTAAGTCGATTCAACAACTAATAGTCATTATTTTCCCACTTAAAGACATTTTCAAGCCCCCCTATTTTAAGGGAAGTTCTTAATAGGTATTATCTTTCAAATGCCGTTCGAATTTAACCTTTTTATTTTGTTGGCCTGCAAATGGGACATTGTACCTTAAAGTCATGAAACATCGAAACCATTGTGTAGCCATTATTTTCGTTCAAACCAAAATATTGCTTCATGAATAGGATAAATACTGACAGTTCTTTAAGAAAACCTGACCCCAAAGAATAAGTGTAGGTAATCTAAAATATGATAGAGATTTATTCCTGCCCTTTGATGCACAATATTACTTACGAGAGTGTACAAAGAATAAACAGATAAAGATATTCTTTGGCTGATGTAATACCTTTTAGGATGACAATGGGGCAGTTATTTTCTTGATAATATGACGTACCAGGCGAACTTGTATTTATATCATGCACAAAGCTTGAGTCGTAAAGCAATTTCAACTTAATTCCGAAAACCTTCACTTTTCAATAAGGGACGGTCATGGCTGAGAAGTTCAAATGTATATTGAGTCAAAAGTATATAACAGGGGGGAAATAGTAACTGATTAAATCTTTAAAAATAAACTAGGGCAGTGGACTAATATATTTAATTTATGAGAAACCTTCTCCCAAGAAAGACACTAACAAATAATATGCGATGTGCATTCTGGTACGAAGGATAATACCCGTTTGAATGCAATTCATCACCACACTCACCTGTAAAGGAAGCATTCGTACATTTGAATTCAATTACTTGATAAACGTCTTCATATAGTACGTCATGTATTATCAAGAAACTGACGATGTTCATGACGTGCTGGGAAGCTGTTGATTATTCGTGCTTAATACGTCTATAATACACTTAGGTAGGGAATAAAGTAGATTAATGGGCAAGAATAAAATAAGTCTCCCGGAATAACTGAAATTATTCCTTGTATGAGGTTCCCTTTTAAACTTATGTTACAATACATGTCCATACCTGTACTACACAAAGCTCCGGTAAATCCCGCAGCACATGTACATGCATTGTTCTCACAGGTACCTCCGTTCCGACATGGGTTGCTACCAGAACAGTCAACTACAGAGAGTAAACAAATATCGAAAAATAATTGACCAATCTTTACTTTCACCGTTCACGATGAAATACATGAATGACGGGGAAAAAATATTAAATCAAGGCAAATTAATGACTTGACTTACTTGACTTAGGTGCATAGGACGGTGTGTCCCCTTGCTCCCCTACGAGAAATCATGTTCCAGTCTGATCTGTCCTGGGCTCGTTGCTCTGCCTCTTGTGTGGATAATCCCACATCGTATTGAACCTGGTCCTTCCATCTCTTTGGAGGGCGTCCCCGAGGTCTGCGTCCATTAAAGTCATTTTGGAATGCTTGGTATGGTAGGCGGTGATGCGGCATGCGTAAAACATGGCCAAACCATTTCAAGCAACGTTTGGTTATTTCCTCGCATATGGTGCTTGGGATGTTCAGTCTCTGCCTGATCTCTTCGTTCCTAATCTTGTCCATTAGGTGAACTCCAAGGATGGTCCGGAGACACCTCATTTCAAATACTTCAAGCTTATTTCTATCAGATTTTCGGAGAGTCCAGGATTCTGCTCCATATGTGGCAATAGGGAGGATAAGTGCTCTGTAGATCCTGACTTTGAGACTCCTAGAAATATCTTGGTTGGACCAGATGGCACTTTTCAGTCTTTTCAGTCTTCCGAATGCCCAAATTAATAATGATGCATTAAAGATTTCTAAAAGGACAAAGAGGGTGCCCCCCCCCCCCCGGCGCTCGACATGTTTAAACCACTTGTTTTGAGGGCGGGGGCAGCGGTTGTTAGTTAAAATCATGATACAATGATTACACTATATTTCCATACCTGTACTACACAAAGCTCCATTAAATTTCACGGCACATGTACATGCATTGTTCTCACAGGTACCTTCGTTCTGACATGGGTTGCTACCAGAACAGTCAACTACAGAGAGAAAGAAAATATCCTAAAACAAATGACCAATATTAACGTTTACCGTCACTAGTACATTCTTGAAGGACGACAATATTATATTGAATTAATATCAGGCGTTGTAGAAGCAAATTAATAATGATGAATTAAAAAATGTCAATTTCCTTGTGGGTAGGCCCCCCCCCCCCCCTCCCCTCCCCATTTTCGGTGGGGGTTGCAGCGGTTGTGAGTTGGAATGACGAAGTCGAAATATATGAATTTAAATAAAAAGCTAAATATGACGGGCCTTAAAGATACTATGTCCCTTTTGCAGCCAACATCAAATTCTGTGGAACTTTGCAGGAATTATGAATATGTCATGTATGTCCTATCTGTAAAATTTAAACGTTAGCAATGTACTTATATTTATATTATGCAAGGAAACCTGTTTACTTGCTAGACTTCACTCTTAGACACTTTTGAGTGACTGACTGTTTTTTTATTCTTTTGTAATAACGTACATAAAATGAGCTGTAAAGGGTACATGAGCATTTGTCTACATCAATAACCCACTTCTTGTAACGGCCAAAATTAAACTAATTGAATCTTTGCGCAGCATAAAACTTACGACCATTCTGTACATCGGTCTGAAAATCAGACTATTACTTACTGGCTCTATAGAGTGGTGAAGTGTTACGTCATCAAAAATCTAATTTTAGAATTTCTAAAAATTTTCTTCATTTTCCGAAAGAGCATCAAATATAATGTCCAAATGTCGAAAACCAATTTAATATGTTAAGTATTAACTGAGATATGACCATCTGAATGAATAAATATATGTCCTAATGGAACTCAGTGTTATATGCTCTAGCTCCTAATGGCCAGAGCATATAGTTTCTATAGGCAATCTTTTTATTCAGATGGTTATATCACAGCCAATACTTAACATATTAAATTGGTTTTCAACATTTGGACATTATATTTAATGCTCTTTTCAGAAAATGAAGAAAAAATGAAGAAATTCTAAGAATATATTTTCATGACGTCACAGCTTCGGTACTCTATAGCTCTTAAGTCGATTTAACAACTTATAGTCATTATTTTCCCACTTAAAGACATTTTCATGCCCCCCTTTTTTAGGGAAGTTCTTAATAGGTATTATCTTTTAAATGCCGTTCGAATTTAACCTTTTCATTTTTTGGTCTGCAAATGGGACATAGTACCTTAAAGTCATGAAACATCGAAATCATTGTGTAGCCATTATTTTCGTTCAAACCAAAATATTGCCTTATGAATAGGATGAATACTGACAGTTCTTTAAGAAAACCTAACCCCAAAGAATAAGTGTAGGTAATCTGAAATATGATAGAGATATATTCCTGCCCTTTGATGCACAATATTACTTACGAGAGTGTACAAAGAATAAACAAATAAAGATATTCTCGGGCTGATGTAATGCCTTTTAGGATGACAATGGGGCAGTTATTTTTTTGATAATATGACGTACCAGGCGAACTTGTATTTATATCATGCACAAAACTTGAGTCGTAAAGCAATTTCAACTTAATTCCGAAAATCTTCACTTTTCAATAAGGGACGGTCATAGCTGAGAAGTTAAAATGTATATTGAGTCACAAGTATTTAACAGGGGGAAATAGTAACTGATTAAATCTTTAAAAATAAACTAGGGCAGTGGACTAATATATTTAATTTATGAGAAACCTTCTCCCAAGAAAGACACTAACATATCATATGCGATGTGCATTCTGGTACGAAGGATAATACCCGTTGAATACCATTCATCACCACACACAGCTGTAAAGGAAGCATTCGTACATTTGAATTCAATTACTTGATAAACGTCTTCATATAGTACGTCATGTATCATCAAGAAACTGACGATGTCCATGACGTGCTGGGAAGCTGTTGATTATTCGTGCTTTATACGTCTATAATACACTTAGGTAGGGAATAAAGTAGATTAATGGGCAAGAATAAAATAAGTCTCCCGGAATAACTGAAATTATTCCTTGTATGAGGTTCCCTTTTAAACTTATGTTACAATACATGTCCATACCTGTACTACACAAAGCTCCGGTAAATCCCGCAGCACATGTACATGCATTGTTCTCACAGGTACCTCCGTTCCGACATGGGTTGCTACCAGAACAGTCAACTACAGAGAGTAAACAAATATCCAAAAATAATTGACCAATCTTTACTTTCACCGTTCACGATGAAATACATGAATGACGGGGAAAAAATATTGAATCAAGGCAAATTAATAATGATGCATTAAAGATTTCTAAAAAGGACAAAGAGGGTGCCCCCCCCCCCCCCGGCGCTCGACATGTTTAAACCATTTGTTTTGAGGGCGGGGGCAGCGGTTGTTAGTTAAAATCATGATACAATGATTACACTATATTTCCATACCTGTACTACACAAAGCTCCATTAAATTCCACGGCACATGTACATGCATTGTTCTCACATGTACCTTCGTTCTGACATGGGTTGCTACCAGAACAGTCAACTACAGAGAGAAAAGAAAATATCCTAAAATAAATGACCAATATTAACGTTTACCGTCACTAGGAAATTCTTGAAGGACGACAATATTATATTGAATTAATATCAGGCGTTGTAGAAGCAAATTAATAATGATGAATTAAAAAATGTCAATTTCCTTGTGGGTAGGCCCCCCCCCTCCCCTCCCCATTTTCGGTCGGGGTTGCAGCGGTTGTGAGTTGGAATGACGAAGTCGAAATATATGAATTTAAATAAAAAGCTAAATATGACGGGCCTTAAAGATACTATGTCCCTTTTGCAGCCAACATCAAATTCTGTGGAACTTTGCAAGAATTATGAATATGTCATGTATGTCCTATCTGTAAAATTTAAACGTTAGCACTGTACTTATATTTATATTATGCAAGGAAACCTGTTTACTTGCTAGACTTCACTCTTAGACACTATTGAGTGACTGACTGGCTTTTTTCTTCTTTTGTAATAACGTACATAAAATGAGCTGTAAAGGGTAAATGAGCATTTGTCTACATCAATAACCCACTTCTTGTAACGGCCAAAATTAAACTGATTGAATCTTTGCGCAGCAAAAAACCTACGACCATTCGGTACAATGGTCTGAAAATCAGACTATAACTTATTGGCTCTATAGAGTGGTGAAGTGTGACGTCATCAAAAATCTAATTTTAGAATTTCTCAATTTTTTCTTCATTTTCCGAAAGAGCATCAAATATAATGTCCAAATGTCGAAAACCAATTTAATATGTTAAGTATTGACTGAAATATGACCATCTGAATGAATAAATATATGTCCTAATGGAACTCAGTGTTATATGCTCTGGCTCCTAATGGCCAGAGCATATAACATTGAGTTCCTATAGGCAATCTTTTTATTCATATGGTCATATCTCAGTCAATACTTAACATATTAAATTGTTTTTCGACATTTGGACATTATATTTGATGCTCTTTCAGAAAATGAAGAAAAAATGAAGAAACTCTAAATATAGATTTTTATGACGTCACAGCTTCGGTACTCTATAGCTCTTAAGTCGATTCAACAACTAATAGTCATTATTTTCCCACTTAAAGACATTTTCAAGCCCCCCTATTTTAAGGGAAGTTCTTAATAGGTATTATCTTTCGAATAGAAATGCCGTTCGAATTTAACCTTTTCATTTTGTTGGCCTGCAAATGGGACATAGTACCTTAAAGTCATGAAACATCGAAACCATTGTGTAGCCATTATTTTCGTTCAAACCAAAATATTGCTTCATGAATAAGATAAATACTGACAGTACTTTAAGAAAACCTGACCCCAAAGAATAAGTGTAGGTAATCTGAAATATGAAAGAGATTTATTCCTGCCCTTTGATGCACAATATTACTTACGAGCGTGTACAAAGAATAAACAGATAAAGATATTCTTTGGCTGATGTAATACCTTTTAGAATGACAATGGGGCAGTCATTTTCTTGATAATATGACGTACCAGGCGAACTTGTATTTATATCATGCACAAAGCTTGAGTCCTAAAGCAATTTCAACTTAATTCCGAAAACCTTCACTTTTCAATAAGGGACGGTCATGGCTGAGAATTTAAAATGTATATTGAGTCAAAAGTATTAAACAGGGTGGAAATAGTAACCGATTAAATCTTTAAAAATAAAATAGTGCGGTGGACTAATTTATTTCATTCATGAGAAACCTTCTCCCGAGAAAGACACTAACTTATTTATGCGATGTGCGTTCTGGTACGAAGGATAATACCCGTTTGAATGCAATTCATCACCACACTCACCTGTAAAGGAAGCATTCGTACATTTGAATTCAATTACTTGATAAACGTCTTCATATAGTACGTCATGTATTATCAAGAAACTGACGATGTCCATGACGTGCTGGGAAGCTGTTGATTATTCGTGCTTTATACGTCTATAATACACTTAGGTGGGGAATCTAGTAGATTAATGGGCAAGAATGAAATAAGTCTCCCGGATAACTAAACATTATTCCTTTGGGTGAGGTTTCCTTTTAAACATATGTTACAATATATGTCCATACCTGTACCACACAAAGCTCCGGTAAATCCCGCAGCACATGTACATGCATTGTTCTCACAGGTAACTCCGTTCCGACATGGGTTGCTACCAGAACAGTCAACTACAGAGAAGAAATAAAAATATCCTAAAATTAGTGACTGATCTTTTCTTTCACTGTTCACGAGGAAATACATGAATGCCGAGGATGAAATATTGTATTAATATTAGGCGATTTAGAGGCAAATGACGAGGATAAAATATTGAATTAATATTAGGCGATTTGCAGGCAAATTAATAATGATGCATTATACAATTTAAAAATGACAAAGTAGGTAGGTTCCCCTCCCTAATGTTTATACCACTCGTTTTGGGCGCGAGGGACAGCGGATGTTAGTTGAAATGAGGTCGAAAAAAAAATCTGTGAATTTAAATAACAAGTAAAATATAATTAGGTTAAGGTCATTGTGTAGCCGTTAATGTCCTACAAACCAAAATATTGCTTGATATATACGATGAATCTAGACAGTACTATAAGGAAACCTCACCTCAAAGAATAAGTGTAGGTTATCTAAATATGAGATTTATTCATGCCCTTTGATGTACCATATTCCTTGCGAGAGTGTAAAAAGGACATATAAATAAAGATATTCTTGGCACGATGTAATACCTTTTATGATGATTATTTGGATACATTTACTTGATTAACGACTTGATATAGTCCGTCATGGAATGAAGCAAATGGCGATGCCCATGTCGTGCTTAGAAACTGTAGATTTGTCTTGCTTTGTACCTCTCCCATACACCTTGGTGGAAATCTTGTGGATTAATGGGCAAACATATAATAAGTCTCCCAGAATGATTGGAGTTATCCCTTGGAGTGAGGTTTCCTTTAACCTGTGTTACAATATATTTCCATACCTGTACTACACAGGGGTCCATCAAATCCCGCAGCACATGTACATGCATTGTTCTCACAGGTACCTTCGTTCCGACATGGGTTGCTACCAGAACAGTCAACTACAGAGAGAAAAGAAAATAGCCTAAATTTAATGACCAATTTTTACATTCACCGTTCACGAGGAAATACATGAATGACGAGAATAACATTTTGAATTGATATCAATCGATGTAGAGGAAAAATTATAATGATGTATTAAGGAGTGTAAAATGGCAACGTAGGCTGGCTCGCAACCCCCATGTCAAGACATGTACATGCATTGTTCTCACATGTACCTCCGTTCAGACATGGGTTGCTACCAGAACAGTCAACTACAGAGAGAATAGAAAATAGCCTAAATTTAATGACCAATTTTTACATTCACCGTTCACGAGGTAAATCGTGAATGACGAAAATAAAATTTCGAATTGATATCAATCGATGTAGAGGAAAAGTCATGATGTATTAAGGAGTGTAACATTACAGCATGGGTAGCACCCCCCCCCCCCCCCATTGTCAAGACCACTCAATTTTAGGTGGGGCAGCGGTTGTTAATTAGAATGGTGATGTCAAAATACATATGAATTTGAATAAAAAGTTTAAAATAACGAGGTTAAAGTCATGAAACATCGTAATCATTGTGTAGCCATTTACGTCCTTTAAACCAAAATATTTATTGATGAATACAATAAATTATGACAGTACTTTAATGAAAGCTTACCCCAAAGAATAAGTGTAGGTAATCTAAAAAAAATGAGATTTAATCATGCCCTTTGATGTACAATATTCGATACGAGAGTGTACAAAGGATATACAAATAAAGATATTATTGGCATGATGTAATGACGAGAATAAAATATTGAATTTACATCGGACGATAATGATATTAAAGAATTTCAAATTAAAAAGTGGGTAGCCCCCCCCCCCCTCCCCCCCCCCCCCCCTCCTGAAAAAAATTAGACCGCCCTATTTTCGGGGAACAATTATAACCCCTTTATTTGAAAATACTAAAAAATATAGCAGTTGATAAATATATTTCATTCATGCGAAACTTTGGTGGTGAATATTGTAGATTAATTGGCAATAATATTATACGTATCCCAGATTAACGGAAAATATTCCTTTAACAATATATTTCCATACCTGAACTACACAAAGCTCCATTAAGTCCCGCAGCACATATACACGCGTTGTTCTCACAGGTACCTGTTGATAACGGATGCAAATGAAGATTGAGTACACTACTCAATTTCAATGAATTTTATGATGAACCATTAAGCAGGCTGTAAAAAACTTTTACCCCCACGCTCTGTGTCCGGACAGGTTGTGTCTCTGGTCAGTTGACTTAAATCGGTGATTTGAAGAAGTTTACATGCAATTTTTTTTTTTATGTATAACTTATGTTACCCAATAAATATTATAAAAGACAAATTATAATGACGTTTAAGCGTTATTTGATGCATATTTTTTGTTTAATACTAAGGCAAAAGCGAGTTTTATTTGTGTAAAGCGTCCGGACACACAACCCCCATCAATACTGATAAGAAGGGAAAGGTACGTTGGGGCCCGATGTATTGGGAAGCTTTTGAGAACAAGAAGAAAGGTAAAGAGGACGCTTAAAGCCCGCGGAATTTAAAGATAAAGTTGAGTTCTGGTCATGCGATTGAATTGTGAAAGAAACGATGTGGAATCGATCAGAAAGGTTGATCATCTGGCATACAAGTATGTGTGTGTATTGCAAGGTTCTGAAATCATTAAAATGATAAGAAATTTGGCCTTGGTAAAGTTACAAGCAATGAGCACTAATTATTTTGTTTTCATTTGAAAAAAGTGCCAACCAATATTTTGGGGGGGGGGGGTAGAAAGCACCAAAAAAAAGTTTTCTTTTTTTTTTATTTTTTTTTTAAATAAATCTTTATTCAGATAAAATCACGGATAACATCGTAGTACATAAATATTCATAACAAAGCACTTAATCACATGTTTCATTGAGATCAA